TGACATTGACGGTTATCTGTTCAGAACACACAATGCTATACAATTCACCATTTGATAGATGAAAACCTTGACTTTCTATTGGTTATAAATAATATATAATGAAACGTATGAGAGAACTATCAACCAATTGTGAAAAAGAGGATGTGAAAGCCATAAAAATTAAGGTCTGTTTGAGCAATAACGATTTGATAGAGAGCATTTTGTTTAATTTCGTACATTTTCGAGGGGTGATGGATAAAATAGGAATGATGACACGCTAAGACATAATTTGTCGTGTGTGTTCCTTTTAGAAGTAAGAACTTAAAACTTGTATACTATTAAAATATGGATTATTAGTTAAGATTGTATGCTATTTTAATTGGTATAAGATAAACAAAAAGTAGTTTAATAAAGTTTTGAATGTAAGACACTAAAACCTTTTTGTCATGCACAGTGAAGGGTACCCGTGCTGAAAGATTTAATGGCGTGCTAATCCTACCTGATGCCTTCACATCTCATCTGCACTGATGATCACATATACACAATCAAACAAACAGTATGTTTTCACACCCCTTTAAACTTTGTCATTTGTAACACTTCTAGTTTGGTGAATCTTTGGTCCTCTAGTGAACAAAAGATTTGTTCAAAGAGGAAAATTCACACATTCATTTTCATTACTTTTTTTAAGTTTTGTCACCTTTCTCTGCTTCCCAGTGGTATGTCTGCAGACTTACAACGCTAGAACCCGGGTTTCGATACCCGTGGTGGGCTGAGCACAGATAGCCAATTGTGCAGCTTTGTGCTTAACTACAAACAAACAAACAAACACCTTTCTCTCCATTTTGCAATATGCAAAATGGTGATGGTACGCTGTACCAGTGCATACCATCCCAAAAAAAGTCCCTAATCCTACCTGATGCCTTCACACCTTATCTGCACTGATGATCACATATACACAATCAAACAGTGTGTTTTCACACCCCTTTAAACTTTGTCATTTGTAACACTTCTAGTTTGGTGAATCTTTGGTCCTTTAGTGAACAAAAGATTTGTTCAAAGAGGAAAATTCACACATTCATTTTCATTACTCTTTTAAGTTTTGTCACCTTTCTTTGCTTCCCAGTGGCACAGTGGTATGTCTGCAGACTTACAACGCTAGAACCCGGGTTTCGATACCCATGGTGGGCTGAGCACAGATAGCCCATTGTGCAGCTTTGTGCTTAACTACAAACAAACAAACAAACACTTTTCTCTCCATTTTGCAATATGCAAAATGGTGATGGTGCGCTGCCAGTGCATACCATCCCAAAAAAAAGTCCCACATATTAAATCTAAAGTTAACTATCATAATTCTCAACAAAAAATATATATATATTTTTAACTATGGAAGACATAAAGAGGAAATGGAATGAACACATAAAAGAAGTATTTAATAATGATGGGAATAACATCAAATGAGGGATAAGTAACATGAAAACAGAACTGTGAATTTTAACAATGAATGTAAGGTATGGGGAGTTTAGAACCATCAGCTGAATGAATCACATTACAAAATGCTACTGAAGCTAATATTAGAAAAAGTGGAAGTGAAAATTGACAATGAATTGAGTGAGGAACTGTATTGTTTCAGATAAGGAAGAGATACCAAAAAAAAAATTATTTGAGAATGTTATAAGAAAGACATGTAGAAATAATAACTCATTTGTGTTTTGTTAACTACAAAAAAGCATTTGATAAAAGATTAGTAAAAATTATACAAACATAGTAATTAATGAAAAACATATCAGAATAATTACAAGTTTATTCTGGGATAAAACACCTGCAGTAAAAATAAGAATAACATGCCTGAATATGTAGAAATCAAATATGGTGCAAGTCCTTTTCAGTCTATATTCAGAGATAATTGTGAGGAGCACAGAGGAGTTAGGAGGAATACTTATTGGTAGAACCTGTGAATTATCTTAGATATGCAGATGTTATGGTACAACTAGCAGAGAGGGAAGAAATCATGCAAAATGTTAAATTTGATCAACACTAAGTTATGCATCAGAAACCTGGTCCATTAGTAAATTAATAGACAAAAAAACTTGATGCTTTTGAGACAAGATGTGGAGAAGAATTTTAAAGATCAGTTAGACAAATATATGCAAAAACAGCGAGGTTATAGAAGAGCTGGCCAGCAGAGTGAATTGATGATATTTATCACAAGAAGAAAGGAAACACATTGGATATGTATTGAGATATACATATGCAAGTCTTCAAAAGTTGATGCTCAATGGATATTGAAGGAACAAGAGTGTCTTGCAGACAGAGGCTTACATTTATGGATGATATCATTGGATGGGTGAAAAAGATAGAAAAAAAACAATTACCATTATAAAAGGTACGACTTTTTGATATAAGTAGAAGAAAATGGTATTCAACCTCTGAATTGGAAAAAATGCTTAAAAAAAAGCAGTACTATTGCAGTTATACAATAACTGGTAACTTCTTAGGTATGCCAGTATCTTGTAAATGGTCTAAATCCTTACCAATCCAATCTCTTAGTGTTTAGGCTATAGGTGTGGCCTTGAAAACTATGCCATGTTGAGCCTTCGTGTAAGTATAGAAGGGGTTTGAGCCAGAATATTACCCAGTTACTTCTTTGTTTGCATGATGTATAGAAAGACATTCGAGTGCAAAGCAGGATAAGTCCACCCTCACTTTCAGGTACCTCAGAGGACATATGGTTTCTTTTGTGTAAAGCTTGGAAATGGCTAAAGTTGTCTCCAACTTAATAATACAGTGCACTCCTGATTAATGATAGAGGATTCTGAACCTATTTTCAGCTTAATTTTTAGTTATTCCACTGGCCTCTGAAGCACTGTAAATTGCAAAACCGGTATAAAGTCATCCTCTTGCCTACACAGCATTCATTCTGCTCAATATTGTACAAATCTATGTTGTTTTCATTCCTTCCATGCTGCTTCTAGACTTGTGCACTGAGTGGATTTTTTTTTTTTCCCTATGGCATGTCAGATTTTTGAATTGACATCTGTTGTGGGGACACAGCAATAACAGCTCTTTTGTGCACAGATGAACCTTGGTTTTCTTCACTGATTTCTGAAGCACCACAAGCTATTGCATCATAACCATTTTTACACAATTCTAAGAGGTTCAGTCTTCTTGTAATAATATTTCCTTTATATTATTATTTATTTCATAAGTGTACCTGTCATGCAAATAATCACTAAACTGGCATTGCTCAGGCTTTTATATCAATGCTACAGTACAATGAGATACTATACTGTTTATCTGTTGGTCATGCATATTAAATTGGAACTTTTCGACTGCTCAGGGGGTTTAGATGATTGGATATATAGGCTTTCTGATAATTTCTACTAATTCTTGAACTTCTCTAAAGTTAGGTTGATATGGTTACATAAAATTTTTCACTATTTTATGTATCTTTGGTCCTTCCAAAGATACATAAAGATACACAAACAGTGATGTCACTTTCTTGTCTTTAGCAGTGTCATTAGCTTTAAACAACTCATTTAGTCTTTCTCACTTTCATAAAAAAGGTTCTAGATTGACATTTCAATTTAGTCTACCTGTCTCACTTGTAGTAGAGTTCATAAGCATTTACATGTATTCCTATGAAAATTCATCACATTCTTATTGTCAGTTATTATGTTTGCTGACTTTTTGCAAAGCTATGTTATAACACATAGAGTATATTGTATAAAAATGGTAATCTCATTTAGATACACTACACTCATGTAGAATAAAAAATGACAACTTTTCTTCTAGTATGAAAAGCAAAACATTGGCAGTTCAGGAGCCATAAAACCATCTCCAGACAAAACATCACAGTCATTTGCATCTTCAAGTAAAGCATCAACTAAAGGCAATGCAGAGAAAAAGTTTTCAACTGATCATCCATGGGGACTTGAATTTCAACAGTTTGAAGAAGCTATGAAGAAGTTATTGGATGAAGATCCAGCTTTAAAAAGTCAGTTGGACCAGTTAACAGACAGTACAGGTGCATTGTAATGTGTTTTCTTTATGAGTTTATATGACTTAAGACAAAATTTGAAAGCAAGTAGTTAAGAAAATCTTACTATTTGAAATTTAAATTCATGTGTAGTTTGTTTAATGATTGAGTTGGGGAGTTACCTAAGTGGGACTTGAGCCCTAGTCATGCTGGTGGTAAACCATTAGCCTCAGAGCACTAATAATGTATTAGGGAAGAGTTTTGGATTAAAACCCTGGTAATTAAAGATTTTGTAATGTCCTAGTCTGTTTACTAGGAAACCTTGAGTCTATGTGTAGGTAGTAAGATAAGCTATCTTTGTATGGTTGTTCCAGGAGATGGTCTGTTGTACTGTATATTTACATGTAAAAATGCCATATTGGCTGCAATATAATGTGGTTGACCTAAAGATGAACATTGATTGGCTGGAGTATAATATAATGGCTACTTGGAACTCTATTAACCTATATGCATGGGTGTGGGTTAAAATGTGCCTGCCATGACCTTTTAAAGAGTGCAGTTCAACATGATGTTGTATATTTGATGTCAGAGTGGTTATTGTTGGATTACTGACAGTTCATGGTAGGAGAGAGTAAATACCAGATAAAGTATACAAGGATACTGAAAAAAAAACTGTAAATGTGCATTCCAGTATCAATCAGACTGATGTTGTCAATTCACAGACATATACTTTTGCAACATAGCTGATTGTTTGTGTACAACATACTTATACACTTTTCTAAAAACTTGCCACATTTCATGTAAATACATACATCTAGTAAATTTGAAATTACAGACAACTTTCCTTCTCCAGTACAGGATTGGCCCAGTTCTTAAAATGGTTGTTGCTAGTTGTCAAGATGGTCAGCATAATTATTGTAATATGTTTTATCCTTTATATCTGTATTATGAGAAAATTGCTTAAACAATATGTACATTGAAGAGCATGTGTTAAAGAACAAAGTTTGGTGCATTATTTAATTAAATAAAAATTATTTAATGCACCACTACCATTAGTATAAAAAAAGTAGGATTAAGTGTCATCGATGGTCGACGGCAAAAAAAAAAAAAAGAATAGTCGGGTAAGTACTTTATTTCTCATTTTTTATGTTTGTTCTTTATTTATTATTATAAAAGTAACTAAAATGTAAAAATATTGATCTATTTAGGTTAGTTTTATAGTCTTCAATTTTGTTTAGTTACAGAACTATCAAATAGAAAATCGGACCCCTTCTGCCGCATGCACCTGTCACGTCGTCTTTCAGGATTTGTTAATAGTTCACTCTTACGTTTAATTATATATCATCTATAACCAATAGAAGGTCAATGTTTGCATTTATCAAATGACATATTACATTACGTTGTGTTCTAAACAGATAGATGTCAATTTCACTTATAATACATGGTTTATTCCTGTGGGAACATTAACAACTAGCTTGGATGAATTTGCAATGGCTCTTGTTGCATAGTTAGAAAGCCAGAAAAATTTTGAGGTTTAGAGGAAATTGTCTACTTTTCCTCTGCATGTTATTAGTCTATGTTCTTTAGTGCATTATTTAATTATAAAATATAATTATAAATAGATGTATACTGTTATGAGCTTAAAGCTACTTAGGATAAATGAATGTAGTTTCATGTTACAATTTGAAGTCATTCTAGAAAGAAAAAATGGGGTAATTTAGATTTATATAAATTTTTTTGTTGTTGTTGGTTACGAGGTCATTCAAATTGACTGTTCCCGTACAGAGATAGAGTAGAGAAAATAACAGATAAAATATAAAAAAACGTTTGAAATGTATTTAGGAGGTTTTCGAGATTAAACAAAGGAAATTTCATACTTTTGAGATGAAGAAAAGTATTTTTAATCTTAACATGAAAATTACTTAGCACACGGATTACTCAAAATAAATACTCAATATATTCATGGACAAAACTTTAATTTAGTTTATTATAAATACTTTACTAAAAAATATGATTTGTTGTATGTGAAAACTTATAAATGTTAACTGACAGACTGCCCAATTTCTTGACGATATACACACTATATTGAAAGTTAGAAGTATGAAATCTATAAAGACCTTAAAGGAGTACAAAAAGGAAATGTGGTCAGTCAAATTGACTGTGCCCGAGTTAAGAGAGTTCTAACGATCTAGAGTGCTCATATATTTGCATCTTTGGAGCACTACGTATAATAAATTTTCCATGTTTGGCAGATAATTGATTGCTTTTTATTTTTGTGCGTGCAAGCAAATCCATGTTGGACAAACCCGCGTTCTTCGAGGGTTTACTGTAATTTTTAATCTGGTTTGTTTTTGTTTCAAACATTTAAGTAAATACATTGTGCAGTGTGAGTTGTTTTTATTTTTATGCACAAGAAAATAAATGTTGACATCATTTGATCCATCTTCAATAACTAAATTTTTGGAACTTGTATATACTTGCACACACACACATAATTATGAACATTTTAACATCTTTTTCAAGTGGACAAAATATCACAAAATTCACAGATACACTTAATTTGTGGTGGATAAAAGTAAAGCAAAAAAAGTTAAATTTATAACAATTGCACAACACCTAAAGGAGGATTATTGTAGAAATAGCACCAACATTAATCGAGGATAACCCATTTGTTCAGTTAATGCCTAAATTGCAGTATAAAAAAAACAGTTGTTCGGTCAACTGAAGAACAATAATAAAACAGGAAAAGCATGGGTTCTTTAACCTACCGTGTCCATACACCATCCATAGTTGGCAATGGCATTGTTGTAACCAGACATATCATTTGCAAAGCTGGTAAGTCATACATGTATAGTCTGATTTTCTAAGGCTGTAACTACATGTGCACATATAAATTGAATCAAAATCTTATTTGAAGTATAGAAATGAGAATGTTAAAAAAAAAAGTGATTATAACTGAATGGTACTACATTAGTAAAAACTGAAGTTTATATAATTCTTAAGTTCTAAAAACAATAATTTAATTATATGTATTTTTTAATTTTAAGATAACAATATTTATTCATCCATAAAACGCCTGCACAAAAATAAGCCATCATTCTGCTTTACCTCAACCATAAGTAATATCACATAAACATAGTGAAATAGTAACTTGGCATTACTCAAATAGCATTATTTTATTTGTAAACTAAACTGACATTCAGCTTAGATCTTAAATCACTACATCACATTTTATTGTGTAGAACTCAATAATAATTCTTAGGTGAATTATATAAATGTAAATATTTTTGTGTTACATCAGCCAAAAAGACTGTAATCACTGTTGTTTAACAAGATCTTTAAATAGAAGCAACTCATACAGGGAAGTAATATAGAGATCAGGATATTGCTAATATTATACATACATTATTAAGTAGATTGCATAGATTGGAAAGCATATTACTTTTAAGGATGAAAACATATGAGAAAGATCCTGAAGCAGTTGTGATACTGAATGACTCTTGTTCTACACTGTGTTATGCTTAAGGCTGGGAGTGAGAGTGATTGGATAAAGAGGAGAAGGGTAATTTTTATTAATTGATGTTCTTTTTCATTTACTACTGATGTGAAATACTTTCAAGAATAAATATTTATTTGCAACTAAAAAGAAGTAGGTAACTACCTCGGCTAAATAGACACAAACAGAATTCATTGCTTCATGCTGCTAGTGTAATGATTTGTATATATCATAAAATTAACTTGCTAGTTTCCTTTTTATTTTTATTGATGAGTAAAGTTAATTAAAAGTAAAAATGAATAATAATAAATAATTGGTGTTAAATAAATAATAATGGATTATTAACCCTTATCCTTAGTATGATTTGTAAATAATTTAAATGAAATGGATAAGAACTATACTCTATCATCTTATCTAGTTCATAGCGTGACAGTTGTTCTTTATGCAATTCTGTAATGTAAATAACATCCCAACCACATTTTTTGTATCCAAACTGGCATGATCAGCCCTGGTATTAGGCAAAAGGCCTTAATGGCACTGGATATAGAAGACATATTGCTATACATTCTTCTTTACTTTCACTCATAAGTCCTTAGAATCCACCGGCAGTTGTCACTAGTGTTCATGGTGCAAGTGTTCAGTTCAGCATTTGCTACTGTATCTGGTGTGCTTGTTATTTTTAGAGCTGCTTCCCTTAGTAGTATATAATGATAAAACAAAAGTTATTCTTAATACATTTTAAAAGCAGATTTTACATTTTTAAAATCAAACATTGTAAAAGTGTGCACACTGAACTTTCCTCATCATTTTATACCACTAAGAAAATGAATAATTGCACCACTTTGTCTTTATTGCTGGACAAAGATTGGGGGTGGGTACTGAAAATTTTGAAATTTTCTGGAAAACGTTATGTGGGTATAAAATCAAAGGTAGGCAAAAGTGGTAAATTTAATCTTGCAGATTAGTTTTAGGGGTACATAATACACTGTCTCATTATAATGCTACCATTAGGAGCCATGTGTACCCAAGAGTGCTATCGGTGGGGGAGCTCTATAATCAACTAGTCAAGAAAGGACTCATGCTGAACAAGTACAGATTCAACAGTTTACTAAAGCAATCAATTAGGTAAAATAACTGTTTATTTACATAGGGAAAATAGATATAAAAAGAACACAGATAAGATAAAATAAGTTACAATAATGTAAGATAAAATATGAATACAAACTTTTATGATATTTCAGAAACAAAGCATGCTCGTAATTGGTTAAAACAGCCATCTTAAAAACAACCAGCATTTTCATTGGATAAAGAACATAGATAAGATAAAATACAAATACAAACTTTTTTTTTATATTTCAGAAACAAAACATTAATGCAAGAGGCTAGAAAACTGCCTTTTTTACTTTAAACCTGTTCTTACAAATGCTATATCAATGACACTTTCTTGCTATTTTGACAGTTGAATCGCATTTCCAAGTTCCTTTCTTACCTTACTTCCCGACATCAAGTTCCCATTGAAAATTGATAATCACATCTCTGGACTTTGCATTTGAGACTTCCTGCTTTTTTCCTTTATCTTGTGGCAGAGTGTAATGACTTTAGCCTCTGAAGCCATGTGGCAATGAGCTAAGCAGCAGATGATACTAAATTTTTTAGAGCCAAAGCACCACAGCATTATATCTGAGGAAAGCATTATAACCAATGGTGTTATAATGAGGCAGGTACTGTATTGAGGATAAAAAGAAACATTTGCAATTTTTAATTGTGGAGAAGTATGATAAACAGAAAATACTACAGTAGTTTTGTTTCTTCTTTTCCTTTTTTTTATTTTGGTTACTAAACTACCATTTTTTTTAAATACTAGCTGAGGATACCCATTAAAGAAACAAAAACTGTATAAGGGACAATGTTAGCTAATGTTCCTCTTTCATTCTTTCTTTTGTCATTGAACCTGTAATGACCTCATTAGAGGCTGTTGTATACCCTGCTTTGTGGAAGGTAATAACTGACTCACTGATTAACTACTTGTGCCTTTAAATTCAAAGCTACAATTTTATAAAACAAAGTGGAAATGTACCCTATTTCAAGGTGTTTTTATCATCATTTTGGGCAAAAATCTTAAAGTAACCAGTGTACACTGTCAGTTTCCATAAAAAAAATCATGTTAATTAAGCCAGCTGACTCTGAGTGATATAAGTCAAACGTCTATATAAAAGTGGAAATATGTCATATTTCAGGGTCTTTAGCGCATGTTCACCATCAAACAGCTTCCAGATACCATACCAAAAGTCACAAAAATTGAGCCAGCCAACTCTGGGTGATGGATGTTAACACACACACACATATATAATGGAATATGTTTAGAGTAAGATATGCTATAGAACATACATTTTCTTAAGGAGCATCAGATCTTTTCAACAGTGTCATGTGGACTATGTGTGTGTGTATGTATATATAGGAGCCACAGTGAGAACATAACTGACTTCATCATATGTTCTAAAGGATGATTTGATTCATTTTGTCTGAAAAAGAACTAGAAGCTAACTCAAATATAGTTATCTATTATCAATAACTTGTGATCAAAGCAAGCAAGGTAACTTAGTAAATAGTATAGTTATTATATTGGTCTAAATAGGAATACATTGCATATACATATAATTTAAGGACAAAAAGAGACTTTTTAATTTGTCTAGGCTATCACATCCACTGTACTAAACTCTAAAAAAAAAGTAAAACACTCAAAGCTAGCCCTTATCACTAATATATTTATCAGGCCTTCCCTAAAACTCCATTAAATTAACTTCATTTGCCACATTTGAGGATAACCCATTCCAACAGTCCAGTTAGAAAAAAATAAAGCTGTTTTAGCAGAAGATGACTCTTACCATGCCAGAATTTATTATTTTGTTCCCCTAGTCTTACCATTAAATATGAAAAAAGATGATGCATCAACACTATAAATTCCCTTTACAATCTTAAACACCTCAATCAGATCCACTCTAGCTCCAATTTTTTTCAAGAGAAAATTTCAGATATCTTAACTTGTCCTTTTATGACAACCTTTCCATCCAAGTTATCATCCTAGTGGTCTTCCTTTAAACTATTTCCAACAATTAAATGTCCTTTCTGAGGTAAAGCCCACCCAGTGGCACATTGGTAAGTCTGTAGACCTATAATGCTAAAAACTGGGTTTCAGTACCTGTGGTGGGCACAGAACAGATAGTCCATTGTGTAGCTTTTTGCTTAACTACAAACAAACAATTTTAAAGTAAGGAGCCCAAGATTGATTGTAGTACTCCAAATGTGGCCTAACCAGTGACCTATAGAATGACGTTATAACTTCTTTAGACTCGCATTCAATATTTCTGTAGATACAATGTAAAATCCAATTTGTCCTGCCACTAACAAAAGCATATTGCTTTGGATGGCTTAAGAGGTTGATCAACCTGAACACCAAGATTTTTTTCTTTTATGACACTGTTAAGGTTATTCCCATCAAAATTATACTCGGAAATCAATCAGAATAGGGAAAGAATATGCTGGTTCCGCAGTTGGATACATTTGCTGTTAGTATATTTTCAGCCATATTCTCAGTAATATTTAATGAAGTTTGGTGAGCTTAGAATGTTTAAGTTAATCCTAAATCCATACAGTAACCTAATGATCCAAAATAGTCTTATTATGTGCATAAAATAAAGTAACACACACATGTATATATGAAGAGAGAGAGAGAGAGAGAGCACTATCCGATAATGTTAATGAAGCTAACTTTAAAATATGAGCATATATAAATTAGATTTTTTGGAGTGTTTATCTGTCCATACAAAATATATCATACTACTGAAAATAGACAACAGAAAAAAATTTTAAAAAATGTGCATTCTAGTTTATTAGTTTCAAGGGTCATAAAAATTTACTAACATTTTATAAATAAATTGAGTTGCAGATCAATAAGAGTTAACTTCACTTGCTCTAATGGTACAAAATCTTGACTCCAAGTTAAGCTTCCTGTTTCTATAATCTGTTTAATTTTGGCAGTAAGAAATGATGTTTGGATTCATCCAATTAGTGAAGGGATCATAAAGGTTCATTGCATTTTACTGCTGTTAATTAAGGTTTGTGATTTGATGTCTTGTTCTTTTTATTGTTATTACTGTTACCTCAAAAACAAATACTAGGATCTGAGTCACTGTAGATTGTTGCTTAAATGGTTAAGTGGGTAATGATGGTGTGGTAGGGTTAGAGAAAAACAAAAACATCAAACAAAAATGAAGCAGTTCACTAGAAATATAAGTATTGGTAATAATTCATATGTGCGTGACAGGTTTTGTCAATCTTATGTAATGAAAAATCAGTAATAAAGTTATTTACAATTGCTGACCTGAATTTGGGTAGCTGAAATAAGACCATTTAATTTGGACACTTTTATCTATGACGCAATTTAGATATCCATCCTAAAAATGGAAGTGTTGAGTCTGTATTTAGATGTATTTACTAATCTTCTAGTGAGAATCATTACTATAGACTTTGGATAATCCTGAGGCATATGTTATTTCTTAAAACTATTCTAAATATTATCAGAAATTTCATAATTTTTGAGTGTCTCTGCTTATTAAAGGTTATTATCCTTAATACTATTTTATTATGCTTTAAAGTGGTTTTTAATAGAAAGAATGGAGAACATGGAATGTTTTATTTACAGTAGATTAAATAGTTATTTTTCTTATCTGATAAAAAATTGTACGTTTTATAAAAAGTTCGAATCATAGTTGCATGTGAACATTTACAATTTATTCTTCTAAATCTAATTTATGATGTATAACCACACCTACATTTATTAAGAACCCACTTATAACTGGTGATTTCATGCTTAGTATATATTTTTAGAAAAATAGTTGTTTAATATGTTATTATTATTGACAGCTTTATGTAGTTAAAGATCATTAATGATCAGTACTGTGAAAAAGGTGCATCTAAAGCACATGGAGTAACTTGTGTAGATTTGGGTTAAAGATTTTTATTTAATGTATGTTGTTTTACCTGATTTCTTGTATATCTACTTTTACATTACTTGTATGCTATAACATTAATTTAAAACAAACTGATTACTATAATCAGCAAGGTTTAGGGATGAGTTTTTTTTTTAACATCAATGCTTTTAATACAATAACATAAAAACGAAAGGGAGTACAACTGAGCAAGCATATTTACTTGAAAAGTCGTACTTTTAATTCTTGTACATTTCATGTTGCAGTGACTATTTAGTAATCATTTTATTTTTTACAGCATGTGCTTCTTCAGATGAAGAATTTACAGCATCCTTAGCTGAAACTTTGAAAGGTTTAGCAGAAAATACCCAATCTATCAATGTTAGTAATCATTTTATTTTTTACAGCATGTGCTTCATCAGATGAAGAATTTACAGCATCCTTAGCTGAAACTTTGAAAGGTTTAGCAGAAAACACCCAATCTATCAATGTAAGTTTGTGTGCTTTCTTTTGTGTAATGTAATATAACTTGTGCTTTTCTATCATTTGAATAAAAAATCTGAACTTAAAAAAATGAAAGAAGCTTTTTCTTCCTTATTATAGTGTAGTCTAGAACTGAAGAAGTGAGAATCTTGTGTATTTTTTCTTTCTTTTTTTATAAGGAGATTTTTAGCAGTATGCTATAAAAGCTGTATGGCATCTGAATTAAGCTTAATATGATGCAAACAGAAAACAAGCATAATACTATGGATTCCAGGCTTAATATAAATACCAAATAGTTGCTTCTAAAACTTAAGAAACCTTGAATAAGATGAGTGTTGGCACATGTTCGTTAGTGCCCAGTGCTCATCATTAACACCAGTATCATTATATATTGAGGATTTCCACTGGCAACTTGTGCCTGTCCACTTGGTTGTTTTCAGTCGTTAATTTTTCAGTTTTTCATAAAAACACAAAATATAAAGTAAAGGCACTCTTTATTAAAATCCAGTTTTTGGGAAGGTATATCTAGAAACATTCAACACTTTTTACATTAATGGAGTATATCCAGCTTGTTCCATTCTCATCTCTTAGGGTAATTATGAAAGATGTTTTTTCTCCATAAAAATCTTTTCATATGTACAATGTTTTAACACAATTTGATTCTGTAGTTTGTTGTGTTATCCTGCCACTACATTTTACCAAATAATTTTCTGGAAATATCCTGGAAAATTTTAAGGTTATAAGCATGGGAACCCTATACTTAGTTGTATTTAACAAACAGCCAAGTGAATACATTTGAATGTCCCACCATCCTTTCTCCTTCTGCTTTCTTTTACTTTTTCTCTCTCATAAAGTCTATGTTTTAAAAATGATATGAATGTGGGTTTGAGGGCAAAAGCTAGAACAGAGTGTGGTGAGAACAATTTGCACAAACTGCAATTTTAGATTCGCACAAAGTCAGGAAGCATAGTCATTCTGAGATTCTACATCTCAACACATGCTACACTTTTCTTTATAGTTTATTTAGTAGAAGTAGAAACTACATAGAATGTAACATCCTGCTACTCTTAAGACTTAGTGACACCCTTGCATTATGCATATTATTAACTCTGCATAAATTCAATTTATTATCAAGAAATTATTTCAATGTGCTAGTGATAAAAATCCACCAATTCGTAAGAAGTGCAATTTGTTGCTGCTTAGTCTGTGCAACTAAATATAGAACACATCATTTGCATTTGACAGCTACAATGGGTTGAGTACGTTGCATTAATACAATTCTGAATATGCAAATGAAGTCACTGACAGCCACAGCCAATATAATGTCATGGTTTATTTACATGTATAAGAACTACATATTGACATTGTTAGGTGTTTAATATATAGTGTGATGCCACCTAAAACTGATTGCTTTTGAGAGGAGTATGTAACAGACCTTTCTGATACTAAATATTCAGACATTCAGATGATAAGTTGGAAATTTAGGATTTCTAAGACAGTAATATCCATTCTACTTAATGTTATTGGAAAATAAGGGAATATGTATGAACTTGAAGCATCAGAAATAAACTTGAAACAAATTGTACCCCAGCTGTGGTAAGCAAAGTGCAACGTCTTGTAACTGGTGAGAATCAATGAACAAAGAGGACAGTTGTGAAAGCTGCCCACAAAGCTGGGCAATAGTATGCAACATATCTTAGAAGAATCTCCATCTGAAAAGACCATTGGAGTATAGGTTCATCAAGATAAGGCTTTCAATCATACCAGTTGTTCAATTATTGCATACCCAAATAGCTGGAAAATAAAGATACGATGGTTGAGTTGCCAGATGCAGCACCTATGCATTTCTGTGCCATCAGACTATGTAAACAGGTGCTGGGAAACTTTTGTTCTCATATAGTATATGAAAGCATGAAGAGAGGGGTGATGGGTTTTATACATAGCAGCTTTAAGATAGAGCTTTTTACAATGGAAACCACACTGCATGGCTATTCTCAAGATGCACAGTTGTCAAGTGCAGGGCCAGATGTGGCAACTTGTACTGTAATGACATGGTGTGGCTACAAAATCATATTAACTCCTTCAACATAGGCTCGGTCCCTGGGACTAACCTCATAACCATTTTGTGCTTGTTATAGTTTTCATGCTATAACTTTTAATATTTTAAGTGTATGTTTACAAAATTTTGTAGACTTATAGTAAACATTAGAAGCCTTTTGTACACAAAAAATCTGATTTTTTAATGAAGTATTTTTACTTGTATTTGTCCATGAAAATATTGATTCTTTTTTTTTAACTAGTCTAAGTGCAAAGTGATTTCTATTTTAAGATTTAAAATACTTTTCTTTGTATCGAAAATCTCGAATTTCATTTGCACAACCTCTGAAACCTCCTAAATACATATATCTACTTTTTTCAATAAAACGTTATATTTTACCTGTTATTGCATTTATTATTTGATTCTTCAGCCTGTAGACAACTCATTGAAACAGAATGAAAAGAAAAATTGTAAATTCAGAAATACAATGAGCAGCTGTTTTCTTTTTCTTCATTATTGATCATGAAGTTTCAAAGTTTTTCCCCTGACAGTTTGAACTGCTAAACATATCCCATATATTTTCTGTGTTTATTTTACTGTCACCTACAAATTACAAACCCGCTGACAAAAAAGCAATAATTCACCCCCGTGTTATAAGACTGTTTATGTACAACCGTAATAGGAACTCTCGAGCGCAAAAATGCACGCATATTCAGTGAGGTGACATTCCCCTTGCTCTGAGAACACAATATGGGATATAGCAGTTTATAGTTCCTACAACACTTTCAACAGGAATTGCCTAGGGTAATAAAATTGCAATTAGAATGTGTAAAAACATTTATTATATGGTTCAGAGTTGGGGTAATCCAATAAACATTGTAGGTTCTGAGCCGGGCTTATCCAATTACATAGCAGGTGTTTTAGTACTATGGTCACCCATTTGATGTGTGTGGAATTTTGCAGCATAAGTATATGAAGGTGTTATTTGGGCACATTCTTATAAATGATACTACTCTCTCTCACTTTCACCACACTTAGAAAGTAAATGAAAAATACACTGAAAAACAAAGAGTTCGAGTATGTAACCATGTTACAAAATGTTTCGCATGTGCATCGAACTTGTTAGGCCTTGATGTAAGCCTCGTTTATTCTTATGAGTGGAGGGCATAGAGATACTAATTTTTTTAGGCTTCAAATATAAATTTTTGAAGACCAAAAAGTTATCAAATTACTGTACTAGTATACTCAAAATCCCTGTAATTTAGTCGGGTCTCTAAATAAACTGTATGTGGGTTAAAAAAATCCCATTACTGTTCAGAACAACGACTAAATCATCACACTTCAATGGTTCTGGC